CATATAGATATATACATGTACATATATGTATATCTATATAGAGAGAGAAAGAAAGAGAGAGAGAGAGATAGGGATAGACAGATCTGATTCAAGATGTGAGGCGTACAGCCATCCTTTCCATAGACTCCCCACCTCCACTGCTTCCTTCCTTGAACCCGACGAGAGTGGTGGACCCCTGCCCGGCCGGGTCCACTACGTCGGAGATTCCGGGCAAACAAGCTGGCTGCACCTCGTCTGCGAAACCGGGAAAGACGGGGGACGTTAGAGAACGTGTCGCGTGATTTATGAGAGTATGTGGGTCCAGAGGTGTTCTCAGACTAAATGCCAAATATTTTGTTGATTTAAGCTTTCACCTGTAAAATAAATATCGATGTTATCGCGGTAATGCACTGCAATCATGGAATAGAGAGTATTGCCGTGAAGATATTGAAGTTCGTTATACATATGAAGTTTTAAATCAACAAAACGTTTGATAAACGCTGAGATACATCATGTTGCCAAGGTACAGTGTCTTTTTTCCCTAAATGTTTTCCATAAATGCTATGGAAATTGATCTGAAAGTTCCTTTGGACGCGCATGCTATATATATATACGTATATATACATACATATATATTATTTACGGAGGATCGTTATGAATGATTTTAATATAAATGATAAGGTGAAAATATGATTTTTTTACTGCTAGCTAGTGTATTTAGAAGGTCGTTACTATTTTTGCAGCTATTTATGTTACCTTTGATTTTGTTTTTATATATAAATGAATTCAGTCAATTCACATTATTTTAAAGTAATTATGAACCTTTAACCTATGAGGCTTGCACAATCTCCAAACTTATATTCTAACTGCGTTATTTATCTCCAAAATTACATATTGTATTCCATGCGTAGTATACAGATATACAGATCCATGAATAACTAAATTAGAAGATAGGCAAATGTAATAAAGTAATAATGATAATAATAGTAATAATGATCATTATTATTGTGACAATGAAAATAGTAATCATAATAATAATGCCATTAGTAAAACAATAACAGTGATAATAATAATAATGATAATAGCGGTAATAACAATGACGATATATATGATAATAAAAACAAAACTACTACTACCACAAATAATAATAATAATAATAATAACAACAATGCTATGCTATTGACAAAAATGATAACAAAAAACAATTACGATAAAAAAACTCACCGTTAAAGACGATCGGCCTTTCAGTCATGACGATCCCGATGTTGTGGCCATTGGTGACGTCATCGTCACTCTTGAGACTAGGGTGGAACCATCTATTGGCAACTTTGAGGGCCGTGTTTTTCAAGAGTACGTGGTCACTGGAGGTCAAAAAAGGAGACGACGATGAAGAGAGGTCGTTGCGATGTTTAGGTCGTTGGTATATTTGTGGAACAGGGGACTGGACGAGGGTGAGTGGGTTCGTGAAACAAAGGAAGGAGAAATCAAAGAGGCTAAGAGATGAGACATGAGGAAGATGAGATGAGATGCGTTGCGATGCCGAGTTATCAGTGATATTGCATGCAATGTGCCAAAACGTGTGGGTTAAATCTTTGGGCTGGCATGGATCTTGATTCTTGGTAAGAGATAGAGTCTCTTTAGTTGGTTTGAGATGTTTTCATAATATTAATACATTGATAGATAAATAATAATGCTACTGATGGATATAATTTAACAATGATAACGACAATAATACAATTAATAGTGATAATGATAGTGATGATAGCAGTACCAATAATAACAATGATGATAATAATGATAATGACAGTAATAAAAAAATAGTATGAATGGTAATAACAATGCTACTACTACTATGATGATAATAGTAACACTGACAGTGAAAACAATGGTGATGATAATGAGAACAAGGCAATGCAAACCGAACGAACAGATAAAGAAAAGTCTCTGTTTAAATAACAGTGTTTAAGTAACATTTTGCGATAATGTACAGTCAAAAAAGTATCGTTACCCTTAATTGTGGTCAATTAGGAACTGGACACTTCTCTCTGTACTACTGTGCTAACTACCTTGCCTCGCTTTTCCACACCCCTTCGTGGATTTTTCATAGTAGTTTGTACAAAGGATGACGATACTTTTTTGACTGTACAGCCAGCACGACGTGAAGCAAGACCGAAAGACTGGCTAGCCGAAGAAGGAAAAAAAAAACTTTCAAGATCAACAGATAACAAATATAAACCGTTAAAACAGACTCACTATTTCATCGTAGCGGCACAGATAGCATCTGTTATGACGTGATAACGGCTGATAACAACGGCAGCGCAGCCGATAACGTCCCTGTCTCCACGCTTGAATCCGACGCTCACGACCCATGGGTGGGAACCGCGAAGGACGTCACCGCTGTCGGAGGCGCTCTGAAGGAGGGAAGCAGGCGTAAGGCGAAGGGCGTGCGGAGGTTGCCTCGTCGTGGTTGCCGTGTTGGTTGCTCATCATCGTTCCCAATGGCGAGTCACGGGTAATACGGTTAGATGATATTGGATGAACATTATCGCATGCACACACTGATTGTGTTGCCTGTATGTATGTGCGTGTGTGTATATATACATATACACACACATACATACACGCGCACACACACACAAGCATATATACATATATATAAATATATTTAAATAGACATATATACCTATATATATATATATACACACGCAACACATGCACACGCACATACATATATATCTATAGATATATTGTGTGTGTGTGCATATATATGTATATATGCATGTAAATATACATATATATTCACATATATATATACATATGTATGTATATGTATACATATGTGTATATATATGTATATATGTTGTATATATACTTGTACACACATGTTTGCATATATATGTACATATATGTGTGCGTACATATATATGTATATATAAACAAACACATATACATACATATATATGACCACATACTCAAACACAGTAACATATATACAAATATAAAAGGAAATGCAACAATATATAAAGATATATATACACATACATATGCTGTATGCATATATATACATATACTGTATATTTATACATGTATATGTATATCTACATATATATGTATATATAATGTATATATGCATATTCATACATACATCGTATATGTGTATATATATAGATACATTTACATATATACATATATATATATACATGTGTGTTCATATATATAAATGTATATATGTATACACACACATATACGAGTGTGCTTTTAAGATAAAATGAGAAGAGACAGTCGCCAGCCTCGCCACAATAAAAGAAAATGAAACCAACAAGAAACAAGCCACTGACCCTTCCGCAGTCCTTCGGCAGCACGCTGTTGGCGCTGACGCTGGCTGCAATGACCTGGAGGCGTCGTTCGAAGGCATCGGCTAGGCCGCCTCGGCCTGCTTGCAGTGTGCTGTTGATCTGTTCGAACACTTCGACCAGCTTGAGTGCCACGCTGTCCGCTGCCTGGTTGGCCTCGATGAACATCAGCGCTGCTCTTAACTGCAGCGACTGCGGGAAGAGAGGAAAGAGGAGACCGCAATCAACAGAGGAATGGGGCACGTGTTGAAAAGGAAAGAGGAGGTCGTACTGAAGAGAAAAGATAGGCTTTATCTAAGAGGAAAGGGGAGGTCGCGCAGGAGAGGAAACAAGAGGGACGGACAGAGAAAAGAGTAGTAGGAATGGAGAGGAAAAGAGTTTGGTGTAAGGGATATGCGGTTCTGTGATAGCACCTCGCCCCGTTCAACAGTGCCTGATGCTTGTTTCACTTACCTCAAGCTGTGACTTGTCTGATGCTTGGCGCTTGGAAATGGCATGTACTTTTGCTTCCCGCTGAAAAAAGAGAAAAAAATATATAATTATTACGCTATTGTATTTACGGTTTCACTTATAATCTATAGATGAGTTATTCTCTCCTTAACTTTCTTCATTTGTCTATCTATCTATCGCTGACTTCTCTTCCTCTGCCTCTATCTTTGTCTTTTTGTCACTCTCTCTCCCTCCTTGTCTGCCTTCTGTCTGTAAACTTGCCTGCCTGAATGTCTGTCGGTCTCTGTATCGGTATCTGTCTCTCTCAATTACATAGCATTTATGGAAAACGTTTTGGGAAAAAAGACACTGTACCTTTGCAACATGATGTATCTCAGCGTGTCTCTTACTTATCTTTAATAAGTTCTCGGATCCCTGAAAAAATCATAGAAGTTAAATTGGGGAAAACACCACATATCACTTAGTGTAAATAAAGATGAATCTTCAAAATGAAGTGTTCGTAGACATTCATTCGAAAATATGTGCTTTGGTGTGTACAGCTATCTTATGTTCTTACGTGATTTATAATATCTCACCTCCAGGTTATCCAGCTGCCCTTGCAATGAGTCGAATACTGTTGACTTTTCTGCAAGTGGAAGCAAAAGGTATAGAGAGCTTTTTCTGTGTGTGAATTACTGTATATACGCGTTTGATTGTGTCTGTCCGTATTTGTGCATCGTGAGCTGAAGAGATATGTTGACAATAGTTTCTCTTTTAAATAATTTTCAAAACTGTGATAGCACATACTCTTTCAGTATATCAAATGAAACTTCGAAGCAATTATAACAGTCAGGAAAACCCGCAGATTTGTTTTCTTACCTAAAACGGACAGGGAGGACGCCGTCGCCAGGACCAGACACGCTAGGACCACAGCAAAGGGGTGACAAGCCATCGCGCTTTTGAATCCTCAGACTGCAATGCAATACACCCTGGAAGGAGAGAGAAAAAAGAAAACCTAAGTCTTTCCTCACATACAAGCCTAGATATAATATGATCCCTACGTAGGCTATAATGTACACATGTAATATCTTTGATAAAATAGATAAACCATCCGACTTACAGAAGAAGCTATAAGTATTCGTGGAGGCGCTTTTGCGGAGGGCGCGCTGCGAGTGTGTGTCGAGGTCCCGGGAAGGATATTTAAATGGTCGTCCCAGGACTAAAGGTAAGGGATGCCGG